CTGCTGTTCTTACTCCAAGTAACTTCATGTCTCAAGCTTTAGGAAGACTTAGGGAAGCAGTGAAACTCGGTCACTGTCACAGCAGTCATTAGAAATGATGATGAGCCACACAAACAAGTGACAGTATGGAGGGGGGGCAGAGCCCTACAGAATTCGGGAATATCAGCCTCAGCTCTCCTCATGAGCTGTCATTTGAAGCGGGTACTAAAGGACTTTGAGGCTTAGGTGTAGCTGTCCAGGTAGCGAGAGACAGATGGGAGCCCAGCCAATCACTCCAGCCTTTGCTCTTAGAGCTATAATAGGCCTGGGTAGCCAGTAGTGAGAAATTGGAGGTGAAAAATGATGCTGTGACTGGAGAGGTGATCGCAGTGACACCGAGTATGGGATTGTTATAGTAGGCAGGTGACAGACATGGAAAACCTGAAGTAGGGACGTGACCGCGAGTATAAGGAAGGGTCTGTACCTTCACGTTAGGGATTTGGGGTTACAGCAGGCAGGGTCTCCATGGCAGCCTTACTGAATAAATCTAAGAATAGGTTCAAGGTGAGATGAGAAAACAGGAAGCAGATAAAACTTCAGGATACTCAGCCAGGGCTGTAAGTGACTGTATGCTTTAAATTTTACATATCAGACTCCACTTTAACTATTAGGTCTGAATTTTTCAGTTTTTGAAATCAGTGTCATAATGTTGATTCAGAAAGTTAGGGTGACTGGGAGAATGCTTGATATGTTCAGTTTTTCTAAGAGTTAGTCCCTTTTCAGGAGAGTTGGTTGAACCAAACAGTTTTCCAACATAGTAGGGAAGCTGTTATCTAGTCCTAGTGACTACTTCTGTTTTTCCTTCTACTATCTTATCTTTGAGGAGTGGAATGCATAGACTCATTCTTTAGTTGCTTAGGTATTCTTCTGCCTATTCCCTATCAGGGCAAATCCTACTCAGAGTATGTAAAACATTTATGTTCTGTCACCTGAATTTGTAGAGGAGGTAACTTACTTATCTTTCTTTCACTGTTGTTGTCATTGTTATTTGCGATGCTGGAGATCAAACCCAGGGCCTTGCTTATAATGCTAAGTGTTCTTCCATTGATCTAACCACTATTGCTCTTTTAAAACATTGTATTTTATGTACTGGATGATTTCTAGAAAAGAAGGAGCACGTCTATGAATATTGCCATTAAGGTTCCAGGCCTGACTTTTTATGTGGTCTCTTGCAGTTGCTATTAAGCCATGATCAGCTTCTAAGTAAAAGGTAGGCTCCAGTGAGTCATTTGTGCAGCAGGCACAGCTGCAAATAGAGGGAATTTGCTTCCTGGCGACAATGCAGTAATGTAGCTGTCAGCAGTTTGCTGAGTAATCTGCGGTGCCTGGCATGTTATATTTGTAGCTTTTGTTTGAGCATTTTTAGGGAAAGAAATGATGTCTGTTGATGTGTTGTCCCTCTTTAATGTGAGACTGATTTATTTTTCACATAAATATCTGCTTTCTCTGTTGAGATCTCCCCATGTTTAGAAATGCAAAGACTTTTCTGGTTGGTGAGTACAGAATGCTCTCCTTATGGGACTAGTGGAGTTTTTAACACTTCTTGCTCATTCTGTATCTACTAGTGATATGTAATATACAAGACTCTAAATTGCCTTATGCAAAAGAAAATTCTATGACTATCATTTATTCCACAGACTATATTAGGAAGGAAGAATAAGATGGTTGGCATATGCTAGATTGAAGCATTTACTTGTAGTGGGTCTGATTTTTCTGATGAGGAAAGCTTATCAGTTGCTGAAGTCACATATATGTGGTTTCATAGCTGCACCTGATGGAGGATTCAGCTTAGGTATACATTATTCCAAATCTGATCTTGTTCTAGAATACTCTGTTAACACTAGAGAATACAGCAAGAACTCAAAGAAGCAACTTGAAGTGGTTGGCATAACCAGGAAAATCATCGTGGAATGTTAAATATATGAAACAAAGGATAAATAAGAAGGTTAAATCCTAGAAGCAGGTAGTACTAAAATAGTAGTAATCATAATTCCCCTGTTTATAGACACCATTTAAATATATTAACTTGTTTAGATCCCACAACTACTCCTTGAGATGGGGATAGTCATTTCTCTTTGTCAGTGAGAAAATTAGGAGGAAACAAATTAAAGGCCTTGCTGAGATTACACATTAAGTGGTACCATCTAGATGAAAATGCAGGCAGTCTCATTCTAGAACCTATGATATGGGAACTGAATGGGACAGTATTTGGGGATATTGTACTCTATGACAGTGAGATGCCTGAATCCTTGAGATGGTTACAATCAAATAAGAGATAAATGAGGTACAAGGACCAGAAGTTAAATAGCCTTAAGTGATACTCATAGTTTCTGAGATGGGAAGAGGAAGAGGACAAGGAAGAGGAAGAGAAAAGTACTAGTAAAAGATGGAGAAGAGAAAAAGGACAAACGTTACAGGCAAGGTCTCTGTCAGTATGTCAGAGATTTCATGGATGCAGATATCTTTAAACTGTGCTATCTTTTTTTTTTTTTTTTTTTGTCTTTTTCCTTTTTATCAGTACCGGGAATCGAACTCATGACTGCCTGCTTGCAAGGCAGGCACTTATGCTGCTGAGCTAAATCCCCAGCCCCTAAACTGTGATATCTTTATGGTTGTAGTTTTTCTGCTCTCTTAATACTTCTTGTTATATTTTTAGCACTTTTTAGTTTTTTAACAAATCAAGATGAACAGAGTTATTTTTAACACTATTAACACAAACGTCTCTGATAACAGTGTACTTCTGAAGAGAAAACACTAATCTGAATTGTGTAGCAGGAAGACTGCTGATTTTGGTACTGAGTTCTGTATCTTGTTTATGGCTTGATAAAGATATCATTTTGGAATGATTCTGCAGCATCATAATATGTAAGACATTGTAGCATTATAAGAGGTTTGATGAGTGACATTTTACATAGCCCATTTTGTTCTGTTGTCTCCACTTTATAATCTTGCAGCGGAACCATGTTGCCTACCCACCTTCTCCAAGTGTTCTTCCACTCTTCGGGTACTCTAAATTTCCCCTCAGCCTGTTCAGCTTTGTATTATGTGTAAGGAGGGGTCCTTCTAATGTCTGGATCGTTTCTGTCTCTGCACTTAAATTGAACCCGTCAGAGCCCAGGCAGTGCAAGTGTCACCCCACCTTGTCAGTTCCCCCGACAGCTTCATTGGCTTCTCCTTGCCTTGATGTCTTTTGTTTATTTGCCAGTTCTCTGTGTTTTACCCCTTAACCCTTTCCCCTTGTGATGGAGCTCAAACCCATGGCCTTATTCATGCTAGGGAAGAACTCACCCAAGCCCTCCCCTCCTTTCAAAAACTTACTCTGAGAGAGGATCTTACTGCGTTGCCAGGCTGGTATGGAATTTATAGTGCTCCTGCCTTACCTTCCCCAGTAGCTGTATTTAGAGGTATGTCCTACCACTCTAGCTACTAGCATTGGCTTTTAAAATACTTTTTTTGAGTTCATTTAGAGTAACTGAAGGGAATTCATTGAGACATGAGTTGACTTTTGATAGTGCCGAAGGATTCTTTTAATGTTAGTCTTATGTTTTCATACTTGCTTGGGCATTTTATACAGCACAAAACTGCTGATGGCATATCTAAATACAGCAGAATGGCGGCCAGTGATACAGCTCAGCAGCACAGACACCTGCCTGGCAAGTGAGAGGTCATTAAGTTCGATCCCTGGTACCAAAAAAAAAAAAAAAAAAAAAAGAATGATGAATGGATTTATTCCTGTTATCCTGGAATTTCAGATACATTTTAAAGTGGAGGGTAAAGCATTGAATACTTCATATTCTAGGATGCTTACCAGTGTTCTAGGAGATGAGATCCTTCTATCTCCAGAATGTGTTCCACTGCCATGAACCCCCACTTGATGCCAAATCCAGTTAGCTGACTAAGTGGACATCTAGCTGGGGAATATGTGCCTGGTTCCTCTTGATGACACCTGCAGTCTCTTTTCATTCCCTGCGTTACGGGAGGAAGCAGTGCACCCTAAATATTGTGTCCTTTTTTAAGGTCAGCCTCCATCATGGCCTTATTCCTGCCCCGCCTCCCCTTTTTGTCTTTTTGAGGCAGGGTCTCGCCATGCAGTTTGGACTGGTCTTGAGCTCACTTTGTAGCGCAGGCTCAAACTCATAATGATCCTCGTGCCTCAGCTTCCCAAGTGCTAGGATTACAGGCCTGCATGACCATGTATATCAGTTAGAGGTTGGGAAGGAGAGAGATCTGTGACACATTAACTCTGGTGTTTCTTACCAAGTCATGGAGAGAAGATGGAACTTACCAATTTGTTGGATGCCATTTGTAGATTAGGTTTGTCATCTTCATCCACATATTAGAATTGTTTAAGGAACTGGTGCCCAAGTTTTACCCTGTCAGTTTAATTAAATGTTCTTTGTGCTGGACTTTGGCATCAGTAGGTTTGAAAGCTCCTGCAAGTGATTCCAATAAAGCAGGCCAGAATGAAAGTCATTTCTGCAGTGCAGGGAATGGGAATGGAAGGGTGGGACTACAGGGGTCATTTCTCCCCCAAGTTAGAGTCTTAGATAAAATTATTTGAGAACAAAATATCCTACCCAGTTTCTTGTTAAATAAACAAATAAAAATAAAATTAAGGTTGGTAGTTTAACCTGTCTTATTATAATACTTGAGTGAATATTAAATATTAATTTTTTTCTAAACAGCAAAATATATAGTAAGGTGAAGAGATTAATATGTTAATTGACATCGTCAAGCCTATATTTTATTACTGTATTGTAAGTGAATTTTATCTCAACAGGATGATAAGTCAGTATCACTGGAGTGAGCTAATAGACACTCCAAACCTATCTCATTGTAGCATATTTACCCTGTGAGCCTTTCCTAATAATGTCTCAAGAACTGAGCTAGTTTCATTAGGAATGAGTGTGGTTCTTCTAAACCATTTAATCTGTTTTCTAATCTCATTGATTTTCTAACAGCTCAAAAGATGGCTGCACAATGTGTCACAAAGGTGGAGCTGAATATTTCCTGTAACAATCTTTTGGATTTTGATGTAACATCGAAGTCGGACCCTCTGTGTGTGTTATTTTTGAACACAAGTGGTCAACAGTGGTATGAGGTAATATTACATACTTTCGGTGAAAGGCTGTCTGACTCGCTCTTTTGACAAAGTGAAGAGTTCATTTACAGTGTTAAAAATAATAGCATTGTCTCTTCTATTAATGTAATTTTTTAGGGGTAAGTTTGTCCTTAGCTGTGGGATTCTTCATATACATATAGAAACTTCCTTTAGTCTTCTTGCCAAAATTAATCATATTTAGTATATAGTGGTAAAATTCAATGCATCTTTGATCTGAAGACACTTTTTTTTTAAATTTGTTTTTGGGGATGGATACAGATTGAACGGACCGAAAGGATTAAAAACTGTTTGAATCCTCAATTTTCCAAAACATTTATTATTGATTACTACTTTGAAGTGGTTCAGAAATTGAAATTTGGGATTTATGACATTGACAACAAAACTATTGAGCTGAGTGATGATGACTTCTTAGGAGAATGTGAATGTACCCTTGGACAAGTGAGTATAAGTAACTATTATATTCTTCTTTTGTTTAAAGTTAAATCACAGAATTGGTGTTTTTTGATGTGTTCCATAGTTTAATTTTTAAAGTTGTAAAGCATTAGTCATTTTAAAGACTGAGGTGACTTGAACATTATAAAATTTACCTTGTTTTTCTAAAGGCAAGAATCAAGTGTTTCTGGCACAGACTGTTTATTCTTTTGAGAGAGGATTGCTTCATTTGGCACCTCAATATCTGTCTTCTGATAGAGCTCAGTATGATTCTATTATGTTTAGTCATCAGTTCTATCGAAGTAATAGTAACATCTCTGATGCTCTACCATGACTGGTACTCCAGCCCCTGACGACACCCTGTTAACCTGGCTTGCTCTTCCTCTATCTTAGCTGTGTGTCTTTAAACTTCTCTTACCCATAAACCTTCCATGACCCCCACACTAGTTTAGAGCCTTTTTTTTTTTTTTTTTTTTTTTTTTAGCTCACTGTGGCACTGTCTACTGCTTTGCAGCGTATTTTATTGTAGTTGCCTTGTTGTCTGCCCTCTCAGTAAGTGACAAACTTGGTCAGGGGAAGGGGCTTGTCTAGTGGCTCATACTTTGCTTCTGCCTCAGATTTTGCTCGTAGCTTATCAGGAGAAATCATGACCATTTGTATAAATTGAGAAAGGTGTCAGAAGGTAGAAGTCATCTTTTCTCAAAGAGTGACATTTACCACTTGAATTTGTCTTTTATGAATTTATTTTTTGTTAGGAGAGCATGGTGTTTTCTGTGTCTAAAAGGACAATATGACATTGATCAATTTTGTGAAATTTTCACAACTGATATTAAAGAGAAAATTGAAGTTTTTGGACAAGCATCACAGTATAGCTAAAATTCTAATGAATTTGAGAGATGTATCAGTTTAAAAGATATATCTTTCTAATGTTGATGATATACTTGAAAGATATATTCTATTACTTTAAAAAACATCTTATTTTGTGGGAGTAAAGTATCAAAGTTGTGTGTCATTTGAAAAATTGAATCACATTTATTGACTCTTCTGATGCCCACCATTTCCCTAGAGGGGCTGCAGCTGTGATTTTGTGTCTGAGAATCGGGTCCTCATTTTCCATTACAAGAGAGAAGTCAAACTTTGAAGTACAGTAATTAGTAAAGAAACCAATGTAAAGATTGTATTTTCAAGAGTAGGCGTTTTGAGAGCATTTTCCAGTTTTACATTATCTAAATCTTTAAGAAATGGACTTAATGGTTCTATTTCTGATGTCTTAAAGTGAACTTTTTGGGAAACCATTCATTTTACAAACTTACATGTTGAAGTGAAATAGTTCTTTCTGTTACTTTCCAATGTTAACAGATTGTTTCCAGTAAGAAGCTAACTCGACCACTGGTGCTTAAAAATGGCCAACCTGCTGGGAAAGGGAGCATTACGGTAAAAATATTTGTCTTTTGCCTCAAAAGATTTAGCATAACTAGATGTGCTGAAACTGTACATATCAGATACTTTACACCGTGCTTTATCATTTAATCTTGAATGTTGCCTTCCATCCACCTTTGCAAGACAATGGTCATAAATGGAAAATATATTGTGCCCCCCCCCCAAAGAGAGAAAAACATAGTATGGGAATCTCTTATTTCAGTTAAAGTTGTCCATGGAAGTCAGATGCACCTTAGTGATTCTTACCTCTCTTCCATGAAATTGTCAATTCCCAAATGAAGAGAACCTGCTTAATAATCTAATGGATCATTTTGGCTGTCTACAGAGGAGACAGTCTCTTTCAGAAACAGAAACTTTCCATAATGGGTTTTATTCCAAATGGATATTATATTATAACATGACCATTAAATCTATTGTCTTTACCATCATTTTCTGTTCTTGAGTTCTGCTATCCGTTCTCCTACCCAAATTTTCTATTGCTGACAACTGGCCCTGAACAAATGAATGTGTACTTCATCATATTTTAGGTTTTCAATTACATACTGACATACTTGGAATACTTTATCTTCAGAAGTTTCTGTTCACATAGCTACTTTGTAGAGCAGTTCTAACTATAACTGCCTCTGAGAGTGGAATCCTGGCTTCTCAAGTGAGAGCCGTGTTTAAGGGTTATTACAGTAACCAAAAACATTTATCTGAGCAACTATTTGGTTCTAGATTCTGAAGAGAATCATGAGAATGTTTCACTATAGGAAGAGTTGACTTTTACACAATAGAGAATATTATCAGTAGTTAACTTATTGCTTTGGGACATAATAACCTCTAATTTGTTTTCAAGCAGAATAATTCAACTGCATTGAATGAAAAATACTGATCTGATGTTTGAGTTTGTAGAGTTTGCTAGATATGATTTATTCAAGCTTCCCAGTGTATGGAGAGGTTTAGCTAGTTTTGTTCAGAGAGCATTCTTTAGTCTTCCAGGGCTTTTGAGTTTCCTAGGCAATAGGGAAGACCTAGTTTGGGCAACAATATTTAAAAAGAAAATTGTACAATGCAGATTTTCAGTCTTTGGGGAAAAATATTCATTCACACAAAAGAAGTAATGATAAATGTTTTTTTTTTTTACTATGTAAAATTTTAATCTTTATTTGGAAAAAATACAGAATAAAAGGAAAAATATTTATAATTTACATTGTAGAGAATTTTTTTTTTTTTTTGTCTTTTTTGAGACGAGGTCTTGCTATACAGTTCAGGCTGGCCTTGAGCTCACTTTGTAGTCCAGGCTGGTTTCGAACTCACAACAATCCTCCCACCTCAGCCTCCCGAGTGCTGGGATTACAGGCAAGAGCCACCATGCCCGGCTCTAGAGAAATATTTTTAAGGGATTATTAAACTCAATAAAATATTATAAATAATACAAAGGCTATGAAGAGAAAATTTTGAGACTATAAACAAAAAATCTAGGGAAAGATGTTTTAACTTATTAACAATCTAGGAATGTGCAATATCTCACCTACTAGATCAGCAAAGCTGTTTACAATCATAGAAACTAGTGTTGAAGGGAGAAGGTTAACTAGGTTGAGCAAAAGCATCTGAGAGATGCTTTTATTTATTGCCAAATATCAAAGACTACTAAAATGATGAGTGTGCATGCACACAAATGGCTCCACAATTGCAGTATAGGCAGTTGTCCCACAGAAGTGCCAGCCAAGTGTGAAAAATACACCCATAGGGATACTCACTAAAGCATGTGCACAATAAATATTCTCACAAATATTAGCAGTAGCGAGACCAGAATAATTATATTCAAACTGAAAAATCATACAGCCACTGGGTTGAGGCAGAATTCAATATATTCACACAGAATAAAAGCTAAGGAAACACTGTATTAAATGTAAAAGAAAACATGATACATATAGAGCATTATTATGGCATGATCCCTTTCTGCTTTTTAATTTGCCTGCACTAGCACATTCACACACATACTATCACTATCCTCTTCTCCCTGCGCTCTTCCTTTTTCCTTCTGTCTTCTTATACACACTTAAGTAGTTGGTTGTTTAAATGCATGCTCCAGAAAAAGGTCTGCTGAACTCTGTATGTTTTCTTCTGGGGAACAGGATTAGTGGAGGGAAGAAGACGAGGAGGAGGAAATTTCATGTTTCACTACATTTAACTCTGATTGGTTAACTGGTACTGGCAAAGTTTTCTAAAGTAATTAAAATAATTACAATAAAAAAGTAAGCAGAAATTAAAAGTGATGAAAATTTAAAAAAATTAGACTAGGAGGTTTTACCTAAGCCACAGTACATCATTTTTATCTCAATTGTGGCTCATGTAAAATTTCTGATATTGTAAGTACTTGCTGAACTTGTTCAGCTTTGTGTAGAATGTTTTTGCCCCCAAAAGAAACACTATTCTAGCAAAAACTCCCGTTATGCAGTACAACACCAGACACTGCTTATTTCAGGAAGAATTTCTTTTCTTCTATTTTTTTCTTTTATTTTTCTTCCCTCCTTTCTTTTTTATTAATACATGTTTGAATTATATGTTTATATTCCTTATATGGAGTTGGTGCATGTACCCTGAGACCATAATTTTAAGAGAAGTCAATCAGACACATGTGCTTATATATTACATGGTTTCTCTTATGAGAAACTCAAATTACAAATAGCAAAATAAAATATAGATAATAGAAACTACAGAGATTAATCTTTCTCAAGTGGGAAGGAGATTAAGTGATAAATTTTTCTTAGTGGTACCATTTTCTTTATTAAATATTTTAGAATTTATTTATATATAGAGTTTATATGCTATTAGATTTAAAAATAGTACTTAGTATGTGAATATATCAGAATCCCTAAAACACATTTTCTTTCATTTACTTTACTTAGATTTCAGCAGAAGAAATAAAGGATAATAGAGTTGTCTTATTTGAAATGGAAGCTAGAAAACTAGATAATAAGGTAAGTGGATTATGCAGATTTCAACAAGGATATCACATGTTTGACTTGCATCGGTTCTTTTTGTAGAAAATAATAATGAAACTGCCATGAACTCCATCATCTCAGGGTCACACAGTGCTTCATTTGCTTCTTAGCTCTGCTTCCCTCCCTGCATTTATTTAACTAGACACCATTCTTGTCACTGCTTTCATGTAGATACAGAATTTGTATAGATTAAAAGAGAAGCCGAATACAAGCGTCAGTGTTACTGTGAAAGTCAGGAGACATAGTAGTAGAGTCATCTTTAGGAAAGAGGTAAAAGTCTGTGCTTTACTAATGACAAGTCAGCTGTACTTTTGGCATTTAAAGGTGCATGTTATGTTTTTTTTAGGAAGGGCAGTACCAGTGCTTGCTTTGGCAGCACATGTACTGAGATGGAGGAAGAGTGCTGATACCTAGTAGCACAAATCTGAGTAAATAGCATGGGTCATAGTAATTTGAGTGAATTTTGTGTTTAAGTCTATAGACATTACTTTTTATTGTTTACATTTAACTTGTAGTTTTGTTGAAAACAGACTAGTGTCATAAGTTTATTTTATTGGAAAAATTCCCCCAAAAGAAAAATAGAATAGTATTTTCAAAAGTATTCAAATCTCTATCACTCACCTCCAGTTATTACAATAACTGTGGCCAGTTTTGTTTCACCTCTGTCTGCTCTCTCTTTTCCCAGACAGCATGTCATTTCACACATGAATATTTTGGTGTATCTTGTAAAATTATAATTTAAAAAAAGTCTCTTAAATCTTTTTAATGTATAAATTTCTCCCTCCTGTTTACTATTTTCTTTTATTTTCCTTATACCCTGCCTTCCTTCCTTCCCTTTCTCCTTTTTCTTCTTTCCTCTCTTCCTTTTTTCTTTACTTCCTCATCTCTCTCCATCCATCCATCCATCCATCCATCTTTGGAATTTATTAATCAAGAAGTATATTCTTTTGTCCTATAGAAGTTCTCATGTTCCACGTATGGCTAATTAAAACCTGGTCGTGTCACTTAGCATGTTTCTCCTTCTCTACCTTTATTTTCTGATTTCTGTAAACTGTATTTGAATGTGGAGGCGTATTCTGGTACTCTTTTGAATTGTTAACAAGATATTTTCATAAGTGGTCCTGCATAATTCCCTCAAGAGACTTGTACTGAGTTGTGTATTTTGGGGATGCTAGCAACCATTTATTATAACTAGCTGGATATATTTTATGAAGGATCTGGAAAAGAGTGGCATTTTCACTCTGTCGTTGCTGCTTTGTTTCTTAGCAAGAATACTTCTATAGAGAGAAACTTCTCCCCATTAGGTATTCATTTTGAGGTATGGTGTATACAAGAAATGCAAATTAATGTGTTTTTTAAAATCGCCACATTTACAGTTTTTCAGAGTAAGTTGGTTCCTGAGCATCTTCTAAATGTGCTAATGAGGTTTTTTATTTGCTATTTTTTGCAGTGTTATATCCTCATGGGTTTGAACTTTAATAATTCATGGTAATTCTTGGGGTAATTCTAAATTGTCCCAAGCATGGTCTGAGGAGATCTCTTCTTTTAGAGCTCGAACCCAGGGAACACTGAGCTACGTGCTCAGCCACTTCTGTTTTTTAAAAATTGAAATATGAGACAGGTCTCTCAAAGTTGCCCAGGCTTGCTTAAACTTGCCATCTCCTCTAGCCGCCTCCTCCTGAGTGGCTGGGGTATAGGTGTGCCCCGCCAAATCTAGCTCCTCTTAGTGTCCTTTAAATTTGTCTCTGAGAACATAGTGCTCAACCTCAGGATTCCTTTGTTTTGTTTCATGACAGAATGTTTCAGATGTGTTTTACTTAATTTCTGACCTAGTCTGGCAGCTTTCAAAGCATCGTTCTTCATTCTCCTGGAATTGGTGTTGAGAAGCCACAGTCTAGTGTCCCTGGACAGGTGTAGGAAAAGGCTTTTTTTCAAAGAAGAACCAAATAAAAAGTTAAACAGGTATTTCCAAATCAAATATAGAATCACAGGGATTTTGCTTCTTTTATATTTGTGCTGAAAATCTTGGTTTCAAAATACATCAATGTAATCAACCATTTTGTCTTTCACAAAATTTGAACATCGTTTTGTGTTATATGCAATAATTTCAGAATCAAAATGTCCATATTTTAGTCAACAGTACTTTTGATGATAACACTTTGAGCTGTCTTTGAATTTCTCTTGATCTTTAAGGCATACATCTTTAAGTTGGGTTATATAGTCAAATTCTTGTGTTTTAAAGGAATCATGTCTGTGTGGTTATACTATCATAGTGACACATAGTTTCATTTTGCCTTTGATAATTAGAGATTGCTCCCCACCTTCATGGCAGTGGAGATTGAAGCCAGGGCTTTCACACTGAGCTATCTTTCTAGCCATTTTATCATTTTAAAATTTTGAGTCAGGGTCTTATTAAGTTGCTAAGTGGCCCTAGGTGGGCTCAATGACTTGCGATCCTCTTTTTTCATACTCTGAAAGTGCTGGGATCTCAAGTTTATGCCACTATGCCTAGCTTAGGGATTGCTTTTTACAAATCTATTTTGACTTAAAATCATATAAAAATTTGGTGCCAACGCCAAATCTACAGAAGAAGTTATATCCAAGAAGTTTGGCTTCTCTTCCTATCTGTCCTACCCTGTTTTTTTTTTCCTCCCTGTAGATAATTTTTTAAAAATTGGTATTTTAAATTTGTATGTTAATCCTCCAGTTAATAAAAATCTAAGATTTTTGCACACATATGTATTACATAGGCATGCACATGTATGTATATATAATTATGTGTATGTACATATAGACACACATGTATGTATATATTTATATTTTGTGTTTGTATTATATTCCCCACCACTAGCCTATAGGTAAAAGGATACTAAATACATAATTATTCCACTTTGTTTTTTTCACTCACCATATCTTGGGGATAAAAGGACTTTTTAGCACTTGTTTTAGTGCTAGTAGTGACAACTTGCTGAACTCTCTGAAAGGGCTGTTTTCTGACCTTCAAAATGGTAATGAGCATATTCTGCCTCTCTCAGAGGATTATTTTTAGATAAGTCACATACAGAATGTTAATGTGTTTTTGGAAAGTTAACTCATCTGTGTAGGATTCTGTTATCAGTTTTGGAAAATGGAATGTACAAAGGGGCTTATTTACTTTAAGAGTCTTCATAGAGATGAGGTTAAGGTTTTTCATAGCGTTTCTGTTTATGTGTTTGACCACTGTACATTAAATTTTGTGCCCAGAAGGGAAATAATATTACTTAGCTCATAAGTAGAGGTTAGCTCAAGAAGAAAAACACCTTCAGGGATGTATCTGGGTAATTACTGAGGGATTAACAAGTACTTTTTCATTTTTTAAAATAGTAAGGAATATATGTTTTTCAACATGAAGATAAACAAAAATGAGAAAATTAAATTATCCATTATCTTTCCACTTGTGTTAAGCTTTTATGAGTGATTTGTACATAATTACAGAATTTTATCTGTATGTTTACAGAATTTTATCTGTATGTGTGCACATGTGGAGGATGGAAATAAGGGTACTTTTGTGCACTCTTCTTGAGGTTTGAATATGAGTGCTATGGTGAATTAGAGAAGAAACAGAAGATGTAGTTTGTGCCCTTGAAGTATTTCTGCTTTGCACTTTGTATATCTATATCTGTCCCCTTGTGTCCTTAAAATAAATATCTGATTTGAATGAAAGATACTGGACATAGAAGGATAAAATTGGTAGTTATGACCCAGGTCCATCAGTTAATTGGTTATATGAGCTGGGGAAAATCATTTAACACCTCTGAATGCATTTTCTCACAGAAAACTGCCCTGTCATTTATAGAATTAGTACAGCTAATGTTGGGATATCATTTATATAAGGCTACTTAGTGCTATGTGAATGAAAATGTTAATGCTGAAAATAAGCTGAAGATACACTTTATGGTTTATTTGGTGAGTATATTTTTTAACAATATCAGTTATTTTAAGGAAGGTTATGTGTGTCTGTCACAAATGCCTTAATAATTCTTCCTAGTAGACTTCAGCAGTTTATAATAGTGAGAAAGGTGATGGAATTTGAATTTATATCCAATATATCTATAATATAGAATTTGGCTTAAATTATCAGCATGTTTAAAATGTTGCCGTACATGTTTTCTGAGGAGAATGAATGCTGTCTGTGTTTGTGTCTTAGGCTGGGGCTACAGAGGTAGAAAAGTTGCATAGCACCTTGAGAAGCCCTGGGTTCAATCATTAGTCCCATCAGAAAATATAACCAACAAAAACCTGTGCTTGTTTCAAATATAGGATCTGTTTGGCAAGTCAGACCCATATCTGGAGTTTCATAAGCAGACATCTGATGGAAGCTGGCTAATGGTTCATCGGACAGAGGTAAATATCAGAATTGAAATGTAAAGTTTTCTTTGGAATTGTAACTTGAATTTTAAAAAGATACATATTGATAGAACTATTAATTTGAGTTTAGATTTATAGACATATAAATTCAATATATTCCATGTTTACTTTTTTAACTTTTTAATCAGGATGTGCTACAGTGCTTATTTTTATTTATATAATGAACACTAAATGTGTTCCCGTGTACCACCCCTCATCTAGGTTTACAATCTGGTCATAACTGAGCACACTTACGTTTTCTCTCTCTCTCTCTCTCTCTCTCTCTCTCTCTCTCTCTCTCTCAGACCCACACATGTATATTTCCTCTCACAAAACCATCTTAATGTAGGCTGCCGACTTAATGATTCTTCACCCTTCAGTGCAACAGCAAGCACTTTCCCCCAACAAGGGCAATCTATTCCATTGTATGTGAGAAAAGTAACATTGACTTCGTAATGCCATTCAATGTAACACTCATACTGCAGTGTTCCATACATATTTTCTGTATATTTTTTGCTTTGTTTTGTCCAAGGTAGAGTAAAGGCTCATGTTTTGTATTTGGCTCTTACATTCTTAACACAGAACTAAATTATGTACTTCTCAAGACTTCCGTGTCATTGAATTTCTTGAATAAGTACAGAGTGTGCGAGGTGGATTCTTCTATTTGCTCCCAAACCAATCCACATGAAACACATTTGTCATGAGTACTTTGTGTGTCCCTTTCTTCATATCACTGGGGGTTCCTCATATCAAACTGACTAGTGTTGATGATGCCAGCTGTGGGTACTTGGTTAAGTAGTGACTTGAGATCCTGCCACAATGTCTTGTTTTTTGCCTAGTTAATAAGTTATTTGTGGTGTGGTATTTTGTGTCTGCATTAATTGTCTATCCTCTGTATCTAATAATTTTCATATTCATTGATCATCTTTACTTGAATCAATTGTGCTAAAGGCTATAAAAATGAATTTTTTCTGAATTTTTATTCTGTATTTACATTAGCATCATTTCTTTCATTTCTTCACTTAATCTAACTCAAGTTGTTATAATTCATTAATGCTATTATTTATGCTGTTCAAATTAATCCAGAAATGACCAGGGTGAGCTCTTTTAAATGGCTCCTGAGTTCTTTAACATAACCCATTAGTCTTTAAGCATTCGTTTCTTTTGTAATAGAGTAAGTTTCTGTTAGAAAGGTAAGAGAAGAATGTTAATAAACTGGATGTTGTTCTAAAGGAACCTTGACTCTTCATCTTTGTAGGTTATTAAAAACAACTTGAATCCTGTTTGGAAGCCTTTTAAAATCTCTCTTAACTCCCTGTGCTATGGAGATATGGACAAAACCATTAAGGTAATTTGAAATTTATATACAGATGCTCCTTGACTGAAAATGGGGGTGCATCATGGTAACTTGACTTTAACTTGAAATTTAACTTGAATTTAACTTGAAAATATTTTAAATTAGACTAGAGTGCAGCTCATGGTAGAGTGCATGCTTGCCTGTGTGAGGCCTTGAGGTTAATCTCCAGCAACAAGAAAAGACCATAAGTTAAAAATGCACTTACTATGCCTAACTTACCTACAGTCATAGCTTAACAACACAGCACACAGTATTGTATCAGTTGTTTATTTTGGTGTGATTAACTGAGAGCTTTTGTTTGCTGCCTTTTCGGAGCTTTTGGAGAGAATCTTACTATGTATTTCTGGGCTAGAAAATGATCCAGATTCAAAACTGAAAGTTTGGCTTCTACGGAATGCATATGACTTTTGCAGAATACTAAAGTAGAAAAATTATAAGCCAAATCGTAAAACAAGAGATTTCTGTATATCATACACATAAGTACAGATATTTCATCTACTTATAAAGTTATAAAGGTGGTATTTTTACAAGTAAATGATAGATACCTATACACTGAAGTATTATGTGTAGAGAATACTAAAACAAAAATGTTTTCTGATTCACAAAATAGTCTGAAGAAGTATGTTCAGTTGATACGTGGATCTAATGTTTAATCATTGTATTTTCTATTTTGTATTCTAAAAATAAAATTACAAATCTTTTTTCCTAAGATTTCTTTGCTTCATGAGTAGGTACTATTAATTACATATTTTACTTTTAGGGTATCTTTTCCAGATAAAAACATATGGCCTTAAGAACCCAGAGATTTCTTCTAGTTTTGGGAACAAGGAGAAAGTAGTGGCATTACTATCTCTTATTTTCAGAGAACAAATTACAAAACATTCATTGAACATTTTTGATCTTTTAACTCATTCAGTTTCTCACACTGGTGAGACAATATGATATTTACACATACGGGTCTGATTTATTTCATTTATGAGTATGGTCTTGAGTTGCATCCATTTATGTATAAAAGTATTCAGTTGTGCAGTAAATGTTGTGAACTGGGAAGAAACTGTTCAAAAAAAGACAAACTGATGGGCAAAAGGAAGAAAAGGAAAAACAAAAAATATATTTATATACAAGATAGTTAAGGTAGGTATAGTGTTAGTTTCTCTTAGTTCATAGGTTTGTGCTAATATTGTTTGGACAAGATATGATCCCTGTGTCTTGTTCACTGAACTACAAAGACAATAATATGCAATTAATTAATTAGTGTAACTCTCCTACTATGCAGTTTTGAAACTGTTTTATTATTTTTACTTATTTTTTTTTCTTTAAAACAAAAATTTAATTGAAGACTTCAGTTGACTTTAGCATTAGAATGTCTGGGAAGTAGAGTGGGATTAGAGAAAGCTAGCTGTCTCAGAGGCTTTTTAAAAAATAGTCTTATGCCTAGATTTTTAACCAGAACCATCTCTCTTTGTCTCTTTCATGTACACACACACACACACACACACACACACACACACAAATGATTTTTTACCTGGGGTCATTATAGTTACGTGATTCTAGATAAAAGGCTTTCTTAAGTTCAGAGGTCAACAGACAAAGATTTTTATGTTGTTGGTTTTTTTCTGCTTTTTCATTTTTTCTAGTTAAAATAGTGAAAGGTAACATTGTAAAATAAAGAAAGACATGGAGTCAGACATAGTTAAGTTTTTACTTAGCCCTTTGACCATGTAAGGGATATTGGGCAGGTCAATCTTTTTACTTGGATTGTACAGGTTATAATGTCTACCTTTCAAGAAAGTTAAGATAAAATGAAGTGAAAATTCCATAAATTGTAAAACATGGTAGAGATGAAATTCTTATTAAAAAATACTTAATTTCTGAGATGCATAAGAAAATGTTCCCAGTTTGTAGGAAACTTCAAAAATCAATGTTAAGTATGATTTGTATGGTATATCAGGCAGCACTAAAAATCTGGGTACAGTATAAATAGTAGTAGAGTAGCTATGAAAATTACTTTTTATGGTTAGATGAAATCCAGAACTTCTCACATTAAAAATTATAAATCTCATTAGATCTGAGAAAGCAGGTAAGTTGGGGAAAAATTTTGTAGATCGTCACTTAACATTTTGTAATAATATGTTAACACCACAACAATGTATCTAAAACTTTTTTGCTCACAGTGGCATGCTTACAGAGCTATTTTATTATAGTAAGTAAACTGATTTTTTCTGAGCTTTCTTTGATAAATGTCTTCCATTCTTAAAAGTTTTCAAGTTTGCTGTATCATCACTCACTTAATTCTCTAGCCCTATATTTCTTTGCAGTATCAGACTGTCATACATTTATGATGCACTTGCTATCTGGAAAATACTTAGAAGCAGAGTAAAGATTATAGAGCAGAGAATAAAGTCCGACTGTTCAGTAGTTTTTCTGCTGTAATATGTTATCATTTTAGCATGTTTTATTTCCATAAGATCAGGTGAATAAAAGGAATTATCATGCATGCTTTCCCCTTGCCTAAAATGAGAATGCCATAGTGAATGTAACATTGTGTGGTCTGTGTGTTCTTTTGCATATATACATATGTATATATTATATATGTATACATGCATACATTTAAGTTTCATAAGTTCTGTTGATGCTGTTGTTTAAATATCCAGTAGTACTGGTCTTTGAATTCTTGAGAATAACTAAATGACATAATTCATTTTGTCTCAGCTGGTGATGGTGGACACACCTCTAATCGTAGCTACTTTGGAGGAAGAGGCAAAAGGATTGCAAGTTTGAATTCAGTCTGGGAAATTTAGTGAGACCCTATGTCAAAAGAGAAAGAAAGAATGAAAAAGGAGGCCAGGGGTATAGTGTGTTTGCTTAGCATTCAAGAGGCTCTAGGTTTATTTCCCAATATTATGTATACACAAAAAGTTATGTCTGCTTTCTTTAATAAATAGGTGGAGAGACAGAGTACTTTTCACCTATTTATTAAAATGAGTAATCAGAATTTTTAATTTAATTTTTTTTATATTTCTTGAAGTTTCAGTCTAAATAAATATATATTTTTAGCCTTTAAGGTTTGTTGAAATAAAGTCCTGACCTTATTAAAGCTTAATCTTGCTTATATATACACTGGCATTTACTAAATGGAAATCTAAAATATTAGGTTCTATATTACAGAATTGAAAAATGTCTGCTAAATTGGTCTTATAAAATATTTAAGATAATTTTCTATCATTGAAATTTTACTTCCTCTAGAAAAATCATTAGGACTAATTTTTTTCCACTGACATGTTAAAGAGTTGAATGAAACAATTTTTATTTTAAAATTTGATTTTGAATATCTAGGATAAGAGTCAAACTATCAGACTTGGTCAGTGACCAAAATCCTTTACCACTGAACACAACTGGAATTCTAGAACTTTCCTATTTTGACTGATTGATTTTTTAGTTTTTCTGAAAAATAATGAGAAAACAGAGAATGAAAGACTTCCTGCTATGATAAGAATTCAATATCTAGAACTGAGAGTAAAAACAATCACTCTACCAAATCAACATATGAAAATCCAGAGCATTTTAGCTTGGGTATTAAAATACTTTGTGAAGGGTAGTGAGATGTGGCTGAGGGCAAGTGCAGATTGCTTCTCAGTTATAATAGCTTTTACTTTGCAACACAGGCAGAAAAGCTTTCAGGTACCCTTAGTGCACACAGCCTTACTTTACCTGCTGATTGCCACACGAAGCATGTGATCCTCCAAGACTTTATTTAATTCTTTCATGTCTCAGTTTTACAAAATGAGAATAATAATAGTAACCTCAGAAAACTAGAGGATGTGCATGAAGCACATCATAAATGTTCACAGAAATAAAATAATTTGTTTTGAAATTATACAGTACTGTCAAAACATTGATACTGAGTGTTCACCATCATTATGGTCAGTTTCAGCTCCTTTGAACACCATTACTTGCTAATAGTTCATATCACTTTATTTTTCCCCTGGAAATACTCTATACTTTGTAACTATATCTGTCACTGTGACACAAAACTGTGTAAATCAAACAGTCTCACCTTTCTTTTCTCTGCTTTCAGAGAAAGAGTATTGAACAAGAGCGTGATCTGAGACTCACCCTGTCTTATGTGGGAATGGAGTAAATATGACCCAGTATAGGTACTTTCTCAGTGGACTAAGTATTACTGACCAAGGGTTTTCCTTTCCATTGTAAGAGCAATGATCCTCAGAATGATTCAGATCTGATCTCATCATATTTAACTCTCCATGGAGACCTAGCTTCACCAAATTACAGCCTATGAAATACACTTTCCATAATTCTAAATTATCCAGGACTTAATATATATATTTTAATTGCCTAAGATACTGACTTCCTTTCTTTCTGCAGATAATAGTTTCTGGTTCATGTATAGTGATAACAAGGTAAAGAAGTAGATGAGAAAGTAGGTGTAATTCCATTTTACCTTTTATCATCACTTACAGGAGTTATTATTGAGGAGCCAAAAACTACTTAATTTAGACTTTAAATAGCATTTATGTTTTTTTTTTTAATATGCAGTAATCTTCTTAGAGCACCTATCCAGTGATAGCTGGTATATGAAAGTATTTCTTGGTTCTCTGGGAAATTATCACTTTGTGAAGTAAGAACTGCATATTAAACATTCTTACTTAGTTTAGTTACAAAGTTACTTCTTGATAGGTCATCTGTATTTTGATTTTTATTTGTTTGTATTATATTTAATTCCAGGTAGAGTGTTATGATTATGACAATGATGGGTCTCATGATCTCATTGGAACATTTCAAACTACCATGACAAAACTGAAAGAAGCCTCTAGAAACTCACCTGTAAGTTATATCTTTGCATTTCTGTTTACCACTTAGTGTAGCTCTGTTTATTATTTTTTCCTTTGGTAATGCAAAGAATTTACCACATTTTTACTCATAATGCTCTAAAATTTGTAGGTTTTGTTTAGTAATCAGGTAATCCAAAATTCATGTTTGGGATTAGTTTTGTTGAGTAAAACATCATGTAATGTTCCCAATGCCAAGTGAGGACTCCAACAACATGGAGGAAAGCAAGTGAAATTGTGGTATCAGTCACTAGGACATTCACACGTTTTGCCCACTTTATCTTGGCAAGGAACACAATGCAGTCCAGCAAAGACAGAACAAGATCAGTGTCAGTAGTTGGTGCCTGTACCCCATAGCCAACAGGTCCTTTCTGGCAGCTAAAGTAGGGCAGTACTGGTGCACACTCTTCTGTGCTTCGGTGTTAGGACTGCATCCCTTCTGCTGTGTCGGAAATACTGGAAGCTGGGATTGGAGCTAAGGGGCTGACACCAATGCAAAAGTTCAAACAGAACAACAATGAAGTACTCATTGAGTCTGAAACAGGAAAACATGTTTCCACATAGCTGATAATCCTAGTATAGACTGTGAGGACTCTTCTGTCTCGATAAGAAAGTATGCTAGGATTAGGATCGAGGTGCATCCTTACGTGGCGATGTAGGTGTCAAAACACTATGCGTACAAGACTGCCTTTCTCACTGTTTGTATGTAGAAGTTTGATTTACTTTGGCTTATGATGGCATATCTAGTTTGATTGGAAGTTCTTAGTTTTAAGGCTTTTGGCATTTCATTGGTCACAATAATTAATATCTACAATACTGGATAAACTTCTGGGGTTGAATTGTGTCTATTTATGCTACTTGGCCACACACTTTTATAATTTGCCCTATGACTCTCCTTTCTGTCTTGTCCTTAACCAGGGAAGGATAAAAGCTTAGTTCATAGTATGTCAAGTATTTTAATACTGAAATACTATCTACTGGCATGAATTTTGTTAAGTACATTTGGCCTCAGCCTCCTTGCCTCAGCCTCCCAGAGTGCTGAGATTATAGGTGGGGGCCACCACACTTGGCTCCAAAAGGTAGAACCAATGAGAAGTTGTGAAAGTCTGAATGCTTAAACTAATCAACTACAGCAGATTGGTGGTGCAGGCCTGTAAGCCAAGCCCTGGGCAGGATGACCACAGTGCTTTTGAGGCCATCCTGGGATACATAATGAATTCAAGGCAAGCCTGAACTTCATGACAAGACCCTGTCTCACAAACCAAAAAGCCCCAAACAGCAAGAACAACAACAGAAAACACAGCAGATATTTTACTGTTTTTTCATTTAAACATGTATTTCTGGTAAAAAGAGATAATCTGCTATGTATTTTACCACGGGATTGGACTTCAGATATTTCTGTTTTATGATGTTGTTTTTCCTTTTTTTAAAAAAATGCTTTTGTTCTTTGTGTTGCTAATGCTAGAAGTAATATTTTACTTTATTATAAAGAAGAAAGGTTATTTGGAGCATTTTGAGGAAATTACTTATATTGCAAAAATTGTATTTGGGAACTATTTTAAAAAGTATGCAATTTTAGGAGTGCCTTGATTATTGGAAATTTAACCAATAAATATTTCACATACTTAATATAGTATTTAATTGTTTCAGAGGTGTATTTTGCAACAGACCTCTATCAGTACATGGATTGATTCCAAGGAGAAGGTTGTTCATTGACATTTCTGATAGTGCTCCTAAAAATTAACACTTTGTCTTCCCTTACAGATTGAGTATGAATGCATAAATGAAAAAAAGAAGCAAAAGAAAAAAAGCTATAAGAATTCAGGTGTTATCAGTGTGAAACAATGTGAGGTGAGTTGACACTGACCACTTACAATGTAATGTCACATTTCCTATTCTCCTATCATTATGGTTCATATCAAACAAGTATTTTAGGAAACAAAATCAGTGTGAGCATTGGATCAGCTTTAGGGCTAGAAAAGAGTAAGAAATATTAACTAAATCTTTCAAGTGACTTTTGTTCTGAGATGACAGGTTTTAGCAAAAGAGGAGGACTATTAAAGTTTTTCCTTTATTTTAGGGAAGGAGAGATTCATAATATTTTCTCATCTATTGTTGGGAATGGCATGGCGCAGTGCCTCTCTCCTGGGTGTAACTTCGAAGTGAAATGTAAGAATTGAGAGAAAAAGTCAACATTTCTTATAATAAAAGTTTATGTAAAAAAAAAGAGCATGATTTCTACTTATTTATATGGTATGCTGTTCAGATTATAAGCTCTTAAAAACATGAAAGAGAGCTCTTTGGTTTCTCATGTAAAAGAGTTTTAATTTTAACAGTATGTTGTTCTTCTTTAGATTACAGTGGAATGTACATTCCTTGACTACATCATGGGAGGATGTCAGCTGAATTTTACTGTAAGTCACACACTGAATTTTTCAACATATGCTGTAAAATGTTGCTCTTTTTCTTCTATTTTGTACTATTTAAAACTGATTTTGTTATGGAATTTACAGTGTTTTTAGTATGAACTCCTTTGAGACTTTGGAGCAGTTATCTAGGTTCCTTACAGACATTTTGGCTTCATCGATCAGAGATCTATTCTTCCTGATGTACACTAACCAGCAGTTATCCTACAGTAATTTAAGGAATAGAAAACACTAATCCAACAAACTTACGAAGACCAACCTGTAAGTCTGACTCATGAGTATAATGGTTCATGATTTAAGACAGCTAGAAAAATAAGAATAGCAGTTTGTTTCATGTTGAGGGTTTAACTCTTTAGTTTTCTTTGGAGATACTGATGAGTATTTGTCAAGATTTGCAGAGCGAATGATTGTATCTCATCTTTTGAGGTTTTCGTGGTCCTCAGCCACGGGTGGCCATTCCCTCTCCTCAGTAAGGGTTGCCTTTGTTATCTGGCAGGTGGGAGTGGATTTCACTGGCTCCAATGGTGACCCCCGGTCTCCAGACTCCCTTCATTACATCAGCCCCACTGGCGTTAATGAGTATCTGACTGCCATCTGGTCTGTGGGACTGGTTATTCAAGATTATGATGCGTAAGTATGACTGTGGAAACCTCCAGTACTTGTTTTCTCAGTTCCCCGAAAAGGCAGTTTCTATTTCATCATCTAGTGCCGTGACACAGGCGGTAGGATTAGGGTACTTAAGGGAGGAACTTTCTCTCCAAAATTTCTCTCGTGTTACTTTTTCTATTGTGATAGTCCTAGTGTTTGCTTTTGATCTCTCTTCTCTTGCTATGATTAGTTATGATATGTTAAACATAGTTTACTTACTTTGTAGCTGACTAAAGTCAGCAAGACTCTTCTTTGATCTGGTTTCTTTGGGATTTTAAGTTGTGTATGCGTTTGAGTCCAGATCACACATTTTGCAAGCAGTAGTAAGAACTACTAGTTAATATGTCTGTTTCCTGGTGGTCACAAAATTATTTTTAACACTTTTTGAGATAGGGTCTCCCTATGTAGTTCAGAATGTAGTTGAACTCAGTATGTAGCCCAAGCTGGCCTTGAACTCATGGGAATCTGCTGCCTCATCCTCTCAAGTTATAGAATTACAGGTGTATGCCACTGCACCCAGCCACATTATTTATAATAGTGACTTATAGCAAGTGCTGACGGGTAATTTAGCCTAATTGTAATTGCTACAGAATACTCTGAAAAAACAGTAGAGAGTAGCAAGAGTTCATAGAGGTGTTCAGATTCAACATAAGATTAAAAAAACAAATTTCTTGCTAACTAGCAATAGCAAGTTTAAAAAAAAGAATGACTTAAGTAAAACATTTAGGATCTTTAGTGAGGGGAGCAATAAAATTGTATTGAAGATCAAAGAAGAATACTTAAGTGGGAAAGTCTATCTAATTTCTAAATAGACAGATGCTATAATAATCCAAATTAACCAGAATGACAGTAGACCCCTGGGAAAATTATCCTTAAAATTCTGCAAAGAAAAAAAGAATCAGAAAAGCCAAGACATGTATTAGGAAAAGAACATCAAAAAACAAGGGGGAGTGCCGAGTTTTGGGGAGGACGGCTTGTATACATCTGTAATCTCAGCACTCAGTAGGCTGAGGCAAGAGGATCAAAAATTTTAGCCTAGCTTGGGCTGCATGACAAGATTCTATCTCAAAAAGTAAAAAAGAAGGAGGCAAGAGAGCAATCAAGTAAGAAAGAAGTTAAGGAGAACTTTCTCTACTTAAAATTTATTTTAAAGATAGATTCTGACTAGTACCTGGGCAGTGACACCAGACAGACAGGCCAGAAATAGACTCACAAGTACATTTATATATGAAACAGCATTTTAGAAAAGGTAAGGGATTATAATAGCCATCCAACTGGACAAGAAATGATTTAGTTCCTCATACCTGTCAATGTGAGGGTGCTAACCTGTATAAGTTATAGGCCGAACTGCTGAAACAGACACCTCAAGACACAGCAGCTTTAACAAAATAGAGGAAAGTAGTTCAGGACTGAGGGGGCATCTTGTCTTTTCTCAATTCATAGCTTCCATCCCTAGGTCCAGGGCAGCTTCTCTGGCTGGGAGGAAAAGCAGAAAAGATATACATTTCCTTTTAGAGATATGATTAAAAGGCACCTGACTTCCACACATGTAGCAGTGTCACAGTGCAACCCAGTTAATTGGTACAACCAATGTGATTAATAAATATAATCGTTAAAAAGGAACCAACTGCTGTCTTCTTGTCCAGAACCTGAGCATATTCAGCTGAGAGAAGCTAGGAAGCATGCTCTGTAGCTCAGATATTCTGTGATTGAAGAAGAAGCAGAGGATGACTTACTGCAAAATACTTGCCAGATGAATGAGAAATTCAGTAACAAAAGAAAATCTTGAAAATTCTAGAAGAAAATATATATGAATGTTTATAATCTTGAAGTGAGAAGGTCTTTTAGTAAGACAATGAAAGCAGAAATTATGGAAGATTTTTATATGTTCATATTAGTGGTAAAAAATAGAAAAGGAAACATTCTAAATTCCGTTGAGGACAAATTACAAACTAAGGAAAATACCTTTAACCAAGGAAATACCACAACCATAGGTTGTGTCTTCAATGCATTAAGAACCGCTAAGAATTAATATACAGGGCCAGGGATTAAGCTCAGTGGCACAAGCATCTACCTGTCAAGTGTGAGGTAATGAGTTCGATCACCCGTACCAAAAAAAGAAAAAAAAAAAAAAAAAAGAATTAATATACAAAGAATATCCCCGGTGGAGAAGCAGTGTTTGTGACAGTGTTTTAAAACAGAGGAACCTTGGCTGGCTACTGGGGGTAGGGTGGGGGCACAGCCCTACTGTGGGCTACTCAGCAGCTATTCACATCATACTGGACACACAGCTTGAAGCCACTCTCCCCAGAGTCTTGGGGCCAAATAGTCACACATTTTGCTATAGGAACCTGAGAGTTATGGTGTTTGGCATTTGTACCATATTTCTGTGGCCAAATGGATGGGCATTCACATTAAGTGTCATAAATAAATGCTGTGGATAACCTCATCAGTTGAGTCAGGTTTTACTGCCAAATGAATTCACTGTAGGCCAATGAAAAAACTTACGGTTTTTAGGGCTTTGTGGATTTATTCATATGTTTGTTAGGTGAAATGGTATACAACATTTAAGTAGAAAAGAGTAGGTTATAAAACATGAATATAAATTCCATTTTTATAGGGTAAAATAGTTTTTTCCTCCAATGCATAGTAAAATATTTAGAGTGGAAATTGTCAAGTGTAAACATTGTTTGTGATAGTTACAGATAATCTTTGTTTTATTTTTACACCTTTGTAAGATTTAAAAAAAATTAAAAATTAGCTCATACTGATTTTACTGTGAGTAAAGATTGAGCTCTGGTTTTGAAAGAAACAGTGTTTCACTTTTTTCAATTTTTCTTTTTAGTGATAAGATGTTTCCAGCTTTTGGTTTTGGAGCTCAGCTGCCTCCTCAGTGGCAGGTAAGGTGAAATCTTATTTTAAAATTCGCTTTCTAGAAAAGCAAAAGTGTCGTCAGCCCTTCTTTTGTCTTTTGACAGGTATCTCATGAGTTTCCAATGAACTTTAATCCATCTAATCCCTACTGTAATGGTAAGTAAACAAGTCATGAAAACTTTGAACTGAGAGCCTCACTAGTGTTCCTTACTTTTTTCTTTTAGTTTTAAAACTATGCCATCTCGAGATTCCCATTGGTGTGTCATACTCAGTTTTCTGTTCTACAAGTAGAGAAATTGCACCGTTAGTGGTTAGGGTGGTAATGATAATTATGAGACAAATCAATACTATGATATAAAGGTGTAGACTGAATTCTTCTACCTTAAAAGGTTTGACAGAACAACAAATGACAGTCTTAGGAGATCAATAAAAATCATCATGTTAAAACTATTGAAATAAATTCTCAATAAAATGATTAACTCAGTATTGGAAAACTTTTAGAGCTTTTTCCAGAGTAGGAGACAATCTCTACAAAGAAAAATTATCAACTCAAAGTAAAAAACAAATTGAAGAACTAAATAAAAGATAATAGGAAACAGGGTGACAGTTCTTTTGCAAAAAGGAAAGGAAAAGAGATTGAGGCCTGGGGAAGGAAGTAAAGAAAGGATTAAGATGGGTTAGGTAAATGTACCAACTCCCTACAAGAAATGTAATCATTATGTACTGTAGACACTTACTAAAAAGAAAAAGACATAAAGTAAGTTCAAATTAAAAAAAAAAAACGTACAAGAATGTTTAAACTGCAGTTAGGGATTATGATTAAAACTGTATTGTAAGAACTAGCAATTTTGTATTATCAGTTTAAGTTGTAATTTAAGCACAGTGGATTGATATAGGAAAATACAATTAAAAGTTTAAACCTAGTCTTCATGAAAATATCTCTCAGAGAAGTCTATAAAATGTTTGAAAAAGAATTTTTATAAATATTTTTTAAAACAGTTGTCTCATGTTACTTTTTCCTCATACCATATTCTGAAAGTAGATAGAGTGAACTAACAAAGGTTTGAGCTCCTGTAACAGATTTCTTTTGTGCAGAAAGTAGGAGGCAGGGCATTTTTATTCTTCCTTTTACCTCAGATGTGCAAATGGTTCTTCCTTTTTACCACATTGAAATCAACTACAGTGTCAAGTCTCTCACTTAGTTTGGAGGAGAGGTAGTCGGGGTCAGAATCATCATTTAAAGTTCTAGACAGCAAGCTAACTTTCTGCATAGGATCCTTTTAACAATTACAATATGTATAGCTCTCTAATAGAAGAAGGTGTTTGTTTTTTAAAATACAATATTCATAGTGTGGAAGAACCTGAATCAAGTTGTTGAAGGCATTTTGCCTGGGGGTTTTCTCCTTTGTCCTGTGATGTTTTCCACACTAATTTAGTGTTCCTTTGAAGTACTTTTGGTGGCTGGTTGTGACCTCTTTTATCTCTCTTTGAAACTAGAACCAGTGTTTTTAAGAAATATGGTTCATGTTTATGTGAAATTCGTCTATAAAATACAGTGATTTGTGAGACAGTTTATATTAGAAGTTCATCTAGTCTTTGAATACTATGAACTCATCTGTGGATTGCTCACCAAATAATTCACCTTTTTTACCTTTGGCTTTATGCTCTGGAAAAAGAATCAACCTGATTTTAGATAAAAGAAAATAATATGTGGAAAAAGACCCCAGCAAGGCAAAGACATTAAACTTTCTTTAGAAATTAATCCTTGAATTTAGTTGCCTAGAAATAATATATCATGCTTATTCCTTTAATGCAAAGAAAAGATTTTTTTGGCACTGTGGTAGATTAACTCATGGTCATCTTGTAACACCAAGCTGAACTGAATGAGCATGTGTTGGGTGTGGAAGGCCCACCTGAGGATTGTTGCCAGTAGCACAGAAAGAACTGGAGGTGAAGATGGTGTACTGTTGATTCTCCTGGAGAAGCTTATCACACTGATAAAGAACTCAGCTCTTCTCATTGACCAGTGATTTCAGGTCCTTGCTGTCACTGAGGATGACTGCAGTCCTTTTTGGGGAAACTCTGGTCCTCACTTTGAATGTTCTTCCTGTCTCCAGTGCAGATCCCTCAGCCTGCTGGCACAGAGCCTTCATCTCGTGGGTGTAGATTTTCTAGCTTCCCCCACTGCTCTTGGGCCTTCCCAGTGCAGATCCATGAAACAGGATTGTTTGAGATTTTATCCTGGGCTCTAGACCTCCAGTTGGACTCTTGGAGGATATTGTCATGGGCTTTAAGGCTTTAGCTGGACTCGTGCAGGACATTGCCTTGAGATCCAGGGCCTCAGCTGGATTCTTTGGATCTCTAGTGTGTAGACAGATTTCATGCATTTTTCAGTCTTTGGGTGAGTATTAAAAAATGATCCAAATTATATGTCCTGTGTTAAATCTTTTCCCTTGTAAACTCTGACAATAACAGGCAGACTTCAGTTTTAGTTGGAAAATTGAAAGCTTCTGATACTTATGAAGAAATTGAACTGTTTTTTATGTTATTAAATTGAAAAACAAGCAGAGATGATAGAATTGAAAAAATTATTGTTGCTATAATTATTGACTCAATTTTTTTCTATAGGATATGACTTCATAATAGAAGATCCTGCTTCTAGGCCAATGTTAATATTATTTTTTAACTACTGGACTGACTCCTAGTTATAGCATCACTTTACACATGTACAATCATCTCTTATGTTCTCAAAGGTTATTTGTAAGATTACTTCCTTCTAAATTCAATATGACATTGTCTGGGGATTTAGTTCAGCAGCATAAGCGCCTGCCTTGCAAACGCACAGTCGTGAGTTTGATCCCCAGGACAAAAATAAATAAGTAAATTCAGTATGATAAAGAAGAGTTTTGTGTGTGGGTTTTGGTTTACATTAGAAGTTTATTTTTGTGGCAGATTTCCAGGATAATACTCAGAGATCTCTAGTGTAAGGAATCCTTTAGGGTTTCTATCTGCATCTTAAACCCTTTGTTATCCAGGGCATAATTTGACAGGTGTGTACGTAGGATACAAGTTCTATTAGCAGTGCTTTTTATCAGGAATGCCAGTAAATGTTCACTAGGTTATACTAGCATAATAATTGTAGCAAAAGATCTCTAAATCTCAATGGCTTATAATCTTATAATGATAACAGTTTATTACTTACTTAACTTTCCATGTGGCTAGATTGCAGCTCTGCTTCATGTTTCTTAGTCTTAGGACTCAGGGAGAGGAATAGCCTTCTCTGGATGAGCTGTTCCCATGGCAGAAGGGAAGAGCAACAGAGCTGGAGTGAATAGATAGTAGTTCTTGAAACATCTGCTTAGACATGACTGTCACATCCTTTCACATGCCAGGCCAAGGCTAGTTCCATGGTCCTGTCCAACTTTGTTTTATATAGCACTCCAGCAGGTCCACCTCATAAATAAAGTGCAATAAACAACTTAGAAGACAATATCTGAAATGAATATACCACCATGCTTAATCATTAATTATTAAACATTTACATCAATTAACTAGAATTGATACTGGTTTTATAACCATGTGGTATTTATATGGAACCTTTGGCCATATACACAAATGACTTTTAATCTTGTCAGTAGATTTTTCTTATTGCTTATCAGTTGTAGAATGCAGCACATTTTCATAGTTTTCTTTCACCAGTTACATTCAATGTCAGTAACAGTGTAACAATCTTATAAACTAAAGAATATGTTTTATTTTGTGATGTGAGGGATTGAACCTAGGGCCTTACACATGCTAGTTAAGCATTCTACTGCTGAACCATATGCCAGCCCTAGACAAATATTTGACAAAGATGAGAATACATGATTTCTTCCGGGGAGAACAGAGTTTATAGATTTTTGCAATGAAACATTGCTATAGTATTTTGTAATGAATAGCTTGAGGAACTCCTGAGTATAAAACTAGACTACTTAAAGGACTGTCTGTTGATATGGAGGTACATTAGCCCATATTATGAATTAATAGGTTGTGCTTGAGATTTTTTAATACTGCATTCTTTGCTCTAGGAATCCAAGGCATTGTGGAGGCGTACCGGGCCTGTCTTCCTCAGATAAAGCTTTATGGACCAACTAACTTTTCTCCAATCATAAATCATGTGGCCAGGTTTGCAGCTGCAGCCACACAACAGCAGACTGCTTCTGTAAGTGCTCTGTGGGCAAGGGTGGGAAGAGTGCGGATTGGTAGTTCCTGTTGGTGCTGTATTTCTATCTATTTGGCTTGTCACTGCCAAGAGCAAGAAGCAGCGATATTGTTGTTATTGTTTTGAGAGTACCATCTGTTGTTGTTAAATTACTGATTATTAAAAATAAGACAATGACAGAACAGTGGTTGCATTCATGAATTGTTTTCTGTGACAAAATACCTGAAATAATTAAAGGAGGAAAGATTAGTTTTGAATCCAGTTTCAGGGGTTTTAGTCTAAGACCATTTGATTCTGTTGATTTGGGCCTTTGCTAAGGCAGAGCATTATGGCAGCTAGTGTGATCGATCTGAACAAAGAGAAGAGAGAAACAAGGAGGGATGGGGAGTGAAGGGAGGAGGGCTCTGGCCTTTTAGGGGTACTCCTGCAGTGACCTATTTCCTCTGACTAGGCCCTACCTCCTAAAGTCACAACCACCTCCTGGGGGCTAACCCTTCAACACAAGAGCCTGGGGGCGGTCATCCCAGATTCAAACCATTGCGAACTGCTATCTGTTTCTGTGGCAGGATCACTTACTATACTGAAGAGGTTTGAATTAGCTGACCATTACCATTGTATCTGGATACCAAATCTCTCTTAGCTCCATGCATTCAGAAATAAGAAGGGGGAATCACCTCATACAGCAGAAAGAGGGAAATAAGATTATTCATATAAAGTATGCAGTGCCTGGCTCAGAGCGGTCATTTGATGCATGTTAATTACTACTCTTTAAATCTTTAGTCTATCCTAAACTTAAATGGCCCAAGATATGGAGTCACAATTTTATGTAACAATTCATTACTCCCCAAAAAGTTTTATTAGAAATGACAGAATTGAGAGAAAGATGTATGGTGTTAAATATGTCTCCTTAAAAGATGTATGTTAGTTCGGTAAACAGTTCTACTGCTTCCATATTTAGTTGAACTTTTGAAAATGGATTTGCCACTTACTCCCTTGATCCATATTTTGACATATTTAATGTTTCAATTAAATGAAGGTGTTTACTGAAAGGTTGTGCTTACTGAAAGGTTAATCTTTGACATTTAGATGTCTTGCTTCCATGCATTTTGCCAACTCTTATTTTCTGGTGTGCTGCACTTTTAATCATCCTGCAGTTTTTGTAAGAGCCAGTTTCTTTGTCATCAGAGAACTGTAGAATATTTTATGCAGATGGGCGAGATGGGCAAGGGAAATGAACAAGAAAGGGACTCAGTGACTCATCAAGCTAGAGATGTTATTAGTCATTGCTTCGTAGGTTCATGTGCTCAGTGAACATACTTTCTTCTGGCAGCAATATTTTGTGCTCTTGATCATCACGGATGGTGTGATCACAGACCTTGATGAAACCAGACAAGCTATTGTTAATGCTGCCAAACTCCCCATGTCCATCATCATCGTTGGAGTTGGAGGAGCTGACTTTAGTGCCATGGAGTTTCTGGATGGCGATGGGGGAAGTCTCCGCTCCCCAACGGGCGAGGTGGCTGTCAGAGACATTGTCCAGTTTGTGCCTTTCAGACAGTTCCAGAATGTGAGTATTGCTCTTCCTCTTTAGACACAGAACTTAACCAGTCCACAACTAAGAAGCTGAGTAAATGTGTAAGGTTAGGAAACACATGAATGCCATTTTTTTGTGTATGAAAGCTGATTAGATTTAGCATTGTTTTATTTTCTTGTTTTCTAGTCTGTGATAAATTATTAAAATGGTATTGTTGTGAATGTCTTAAAATATGTTTTATCTTTACCTTTTTAACAATAGAAAAGCTCTATACAAGAATACAGTGAATTTAGTAAGTTGGGGGTTGGTTTGATGAAACTGTCTTAGATGTCTCTTTTATTCAGTTAGCTTCAATTGTAACATGTTGTAGAACCATAGTACAGAATCACAACCAGGATATTTACATAGACACAACCAAGATGCATCACCATGGAGATCCCAGGGTTGTTTTGTTTCTACATCCATTTTTCTCTTACCTCTCTTTTCCGCTTCTTATCCATGGAAATCACAAATCTCTTCTCCATTTTTCTGCGTTTGTCATTTCAACATAAATGGAATTGTAAGATGTTTGATCTTTTGGAATGCTTTTTTTTTCCCCCCAAAAATGCTATATGGTCTGGTTGTATCATTTAGTCTTTCCATAAGTCAGTGTTTGTGTTAGAAGTTTATGCGTGTGTTTAAATATTTTCGATTTTTTCCACATTGAATTCTTAATACAGAAAGATTTGTTAATTGCTCTCATAACAACTACATAGAATGCTCTATTTGTAAGTGATCTATTAGCCCTATTAATATTATAAGATAATTTTTAAGGCTAGTCTTGAGTATCAGTTGTGGTTGAAAAGAACATGTGAAAACATGATTTATAATGTATGAAATTTAATACACAAGATTTAATCTGTTGTGTGGCAATTATAGAAGTCACATAAAGTCTTAGATTCTGAGTATTATTCTTCCCAAGTAACCTTGATGAAAGGCTATGAGTTTGTGTAATCTTACTGAAAGGTATTTTAAGTGTTTACATGTATTTGCCTTTGTTGCTGAGTAGATTTGGTATGAATGTGTCACAGTGTGTTTAACCATGCACGTATAAAAGGACATATGAACTTTTTCCAGCTTTTTTTGTATTATACAAAAAGTTGCTATCGATGTGTTCTTTCTGGAACTGTTTTTATTCCCTGTGGTTAAATACCCAGAGTGCAGTTGCTAGGTCCTATGATAGTTGCATAATTAAAAATAAAGCAACAGTCAGACATTACCAGAGCAGTCATTCCAGTTTACAATTCCCGTAGCAATGGGAAGGTAGCCTAGATGTGTGAGACTATAAAGTGGTGGTGTTAAGGATCTTAGTGATGGTGAAACTCTTCGTATCTTGATTTTTTTATACATATCCAACAGAGTATGGAATTGCATAGAGCTACACACACTTATACATGCATGCAGCACATGTTTGTGACACACACACTCATGTCACGTTTGGGGACTGCACATAAAACTAGTGAATCTGAAGAAGGACTGGGATGGGACCATGCTGGTTTCCTGGTTTTGTTACTGTACTATAGTTGTATGTTACTTTTGGAAGAAAGTGGGTGGAGAGTATATAGGACTTCCATTTTTGGAACTTGTTGTGAGTTCATAATTATTTCAAAATAGGAAATTTAAAATACCATGCAATGAAATATTCACATTTAAAAACAAAATCCCCAAACGTTAAAAGGCTTGCTCAAGAAAACTTGAGCAGGTATCAATAATAATGATGGTAAGTAGCACTGATTGCTTTGCTTATTCCGTGCCTCATAGACTATTCTGAGATACAAGAGCAGGAAGTGAATTAAGCCTTTATTTACAGCTATTGAAGTACTCCTAGTCTTATCAGAAAGCCAGTAATTTTTCATTGCTAATAGACACTTTGGTTTTTGTTTTTCTCAAGGCTCCAAAAGAAGCGCTTGCTCAGTGTGTCTTGGCGGAGATTCCCCAGCAGGTGGTGGGTTACTTCAATACATACAAACTCCTTCCTCCCAGGAACCCAGCCACGAAATAAAAAGAGCTGTTACCACTTCAACAGAATTGTTATGCTGCCAGGAAACAATACCAGCTCTTACATAAAATCATGTATCTATTGTTTTTTGTATATTTTATCCTCTGCATTTATAATGTAAACCTGATTCTTTATGACTTTATCTGTTTAAAGCTTACTATTTTGAGAAGGACAGTGCCAATTCCATCTTTGCCAGTCAGTCCAGCGATTGCTCATAATTTACAGTAATTGCAGTGAGGTCGTTCAGATTAAAACCTGGTGTAGGGAAAACTGATTTTTGTTTCCTTTATATGATGAAAATGCCATTTTTAAATGTTTGACAGAAAGAGTGAAAAATTGTTTGGATGAAGTATTTCACTATTGCTATACTTTGTACCTTGTAAATGTTTTTTAAGCTAACACCCATACTATTGATTGAGAAAGCTTCTTGTTAAATAATATTGAATTTGTTCCTATAACTCGATGTTCAGCCTTTTTTCTTGGAGTAAAAGCTACCTGTGCCTGGCACCAGATTTTTTTGTGCAGTTTGAATGCTGCACAGTTACAAAGCATCTTGCACTCACATGAGATTTGTTGAAAAGGAAAGGTAATTGTTCCATGTTTAAATATACAGTCAACAAGTAAAAATCTCATGTATGCCATGTTTGCTTGCCTTTCTAGAGTTTTTTGCTTTTTTGTGGAATACTGTAAACATGGTCAGAATTGGCTTTTCTTTTCATTAACTGAACATGATACTCAGGATTCTGTAGAGGCATAGATTGCAGGTGCATAGATTGTGTCAGATTCTTCCTTAGTTTATTTTGATTGTGGTGTGGTCAAATGCTTAGATTGCTTTGTCCAGGATACTATGAGGACCAAACACATAAGGTGAAAATTTTCATTCCATTTTCTTTAATAAGTGACTTTACCTATTTTTTTGAAATAGTAGTTTTATATTTTTCCTGCTAAGGTTCCATATATTGACTTGTACTGATTTAGATATTTTCTGCTTTTTTTTTAAAAAAAATGGTTTTTGTCTGATTTTCAAACTCATTATACTGGTTATCTATTAACCACAGGCCCTTTTTACATTTTAGTAATATGCTGTTTCCTAAGTCTGGAATGTATACTATTAAGCTTAAAAGCTGTATAAGTTAAAAACAATAGCAACAAAAAAAACTTGGGAGTGGTTATAATATCCTTTTTAAATTTTAATTTTATTTTTGGTACTGGGAATTGAACCCAGAACCTTACTCTTATCACTGAGTTATGTCTCCAGCCCTCTATTAATAGTGTGGCTCACTAGTTGACAAGTCATTTTAACATCATCAGTAGAGAAGAAATTGATCATTGTTCCTCATTTGGAGTTTTTATTGTCTCAGATGTTGTTATTTCAGTTCCCTTTATGTTTTTATGTTTTATTTTTTTGGTACCAGGAATTGAACTCAGGACCTTACACTTGCTAGGCAGGTGCTGTGCCATTGAGCTAAATCCTCGGTCCTAAAATGTTTAGTTTTAATACTTATCCTCATCATATGCTGCTTTATACTAACGTCATCTTTTTTCCTCTGTTATGCCACCATTCATTCAAGTGCCATTCAATCTTGAAATGAATTTAAAGAACAAATAACCAAATGGATTTTCACCCTTCATGTAATCAGGTATTACAAATGATTATTAAGGTGATGGTGCCTGGAGTTCTCACGCATGCACATACTGAGAAAATAGGAGAGCCACTAGTTTAGTCACCTTACCTTGTGGTGAGAGTTGAAATTGTAAGACTGTTAAAAATTTAGAGACTGATCAGGGATTTACAGCTGCTCACTTTGGGTAGTTCCTTAGCAGCCTTTCCAGAGTAAATTCGGGGCCTTCCTTGCTGTTTATGCTGCAATTTGACATCCTTTACCATTTTCATTTTGTATTTTCTAGAAAGCCATTTCAGTTTTTCTATTTTTTTAATGGAAATGACATATATAAAGTAAACCAGAACCTCAGTAGAAATTGTGAGAGATTATATTGAGTTTTTATGTATGTTATAATGATAGTACATATAAAAACTTACTCATATGAATTGATGTTAAATGTGTTTTCCATATGCAAATTCCCTTTGGATAAAGTTATTTCTTGATGTGACACAATTGTGTCTTGTTTTCATTTTTATTTTCTACATATTCCAAAACAGTAAGATAGAAATTAAATATCTTAATCCATTTTCTGCTATTATAACAAAATACCACGGTAGGTAATTTATAAATAATAGAGGCTGAGAAATTCAATGAAATGATCCAAGTACTTTGTGAGGTCTGCTGTGCTATAAGGTGTGATCGAAATATACAATGCATGTTTACATTTTTAAAAAACTATCATAATTAAGGACATTGCTATTAATCTTCTCAAAATACTACCCTTTGCTTCAAACACACTTATCCCATTGATCTTGCCACTTTCTTAAGTGCCTTAATGAGATGTGATAAAAAGAAATAGAGTGAATGGTGCTCCTAAGCGCTGTCCAACAAATGACAGGCTCATAAAAACATCCCAGGAGTCCTCACCCACTTCCTTCAACAGGCCTGGCACAGATGACTTCTGGCTCAAATGACTATCAGGTGAGTGTTTTGAATTGATTCAGGATATCAAGGCAGTCGGGCCAGTGATTTCCAAAACCATTTCAGAAAGTGGCAAAAACAATAGACTAAGGACATTCAGAATAAAGAATATTTTGAGAAACGATTAATGGCAATATGTAATTAACCCCCCCAAGAATTTACCATATTTTTTGATCACACTGTATGTGTCATGCCAAGGTAAAAACAAGTGAGCAAATGTGAGACAGAGGAAAGTGAGCCAAACGCAACTTTTTTATCAGGAACTTTCATAGTAACTAACCTGCTCTTGAATAGCATCATTAATCCCTTTAGAAGAGCAGAACCCTCATGTACTAATCACCTCTTAACATTTCCATCTCTTCTGTTATAATAGCAAGTCTAATTTCTTTTTTTTTGTTGTTGTTGTTGTTGTTGTTGTGTTTTGGTGGATCTTTTTTTTTTTTTTTTTTTTTTTTATCGGTACCAGGGATTGAACTCACGACTGCCTGCTTGCAAGGTAGGCGCTTATGCCACTAAGCTAAATCCCCAGCCCTAGCAAGTCAATTTCAATACAATTTGCAGAGGGGTTAGTTCATAGTATAAGATGAGTAGAGTACTTATGAGGCCTATTATATATTAAAGTATATATAATATTTTACTAAATTACACATATTTACCAAATTACACGACACTTTCTGGGGGCCTGGGGGAATGTTCTAAAAAATAAAGTATTTCCATTCTATCAGTCATGTTAAGAATGACAGGATATCTGCTTAACTTTTAAAAAAATTGTTTAATTTCTTCTCTTATGTTGCATTTATAGGGCAGGGCTTTGGAAATGGAGGTATTGCAAAAGGCATCCAAAGTTGCTACTTTCATTGACATAATGCTCTAATAAGCAGGAGAAAAGATAAAGCATCAGAGAGACATTGTGGCCAGTGTGTGGGACAGCAGAGTAAGAGGTCTAGCCCACCAAGGAGGCAAGGAACCCTTCTCTGAGGATACAGCCTGTAAGCTAAGACCTGAAGGTTAGCTAGTGGAGAGGGTTAAAATTACATAAAGATGTCAGGTAAACAGCAAATATGGAGCTGAATGTTTTAGGAATGGAAATAAGGTTGAATCTGATACATATTGTCAGAGGGAAAGTATAAGTAGTGGTTGGTAGGGTCGGCATCCTGGGTTGGGGTGGGAGCACCGGGGGCAGGTAAGGGAGTTCAGATTTCGTGCAACTGAGTAGGTTTCAAGAAAGAAATGATGTGACCATATTTGTAATCTTGAGAAATGTTATAGGGGTTGGGAGGACTTGCATGTCAGGGTAGTCAGAGGGACTCAGTTCACAGGGACACTGTGGGCGAAATTAAGTCTAGTGGCTTTGCTTTGGTGACATCCAGATGGGGGAGCTGGTGATCATCACTTTGAGGTTTTTGATCACACACTTTGCTAAGGACCTGATTCTTGGTCTTATTTCCAAATTCATTGCTTTTCTTCCCACAAACCTGCCTGCATATCAGCTCATCTGTTATGCCCATATCTCATCAGTTCCTTATTTCCTTATCACTAAGCTGACTCATACTTATTGATAACACAGATTTATGGGATTGCCAGACCCTTTATGATAGCAAGATCATCACCCCTACATTTGATCAAATTCTCAAAAAAAAAAAAAATCATAGGAGGTTGCACTGTCCTTAGAGAATCACACTTTGGCTCAGCTATTGGTTCTTTTCTCCCTAAAAAGAAATGATCAGTGAGATATCATTATAAGCAAAATTTTGACTCTTCACAGCTTTGAACAGGAAAACTGTCTTCAGTAGACTTGTAAAGTACTGGGACATATAGAAGTACCAGGTGTTCCAGAGCTGGACTCAGAGGAATTTCAGGAGTTGGAGAGCTATAGGGGGTTCTCATAGAGAAGACCATCTCGTTTCTTGCACAAACATTCAACAGGGGGACTTAAAAAAGACAGAAGTTCTGGCTTTGAAGCTTATGGTCTAATATGGAAAAGGAACAGTATCTGATGACAAAACAGCACAGAAATGGCAACTCCTTTATGGTTGGAGTATGATTGTTTGTTATGTTGGCTTCTGGCACCTTCGAGGCCTCAGATGCTGCCCATGGAAAGACAGTTCTGCTTCCCTCCCCAGCTCTTAACTACTGCCCCTTGCTGTCCTGTAACCACCAGAACTATTCCTGCCAGGCCTTACAAGAGCCAAGATCCAGGCAGAGTTGGCGTCTTTACTCTAACCTATATGGCACCTCTCCTCTATCATATATGTTCTGACTCTAATATCCCACCTCTCTTTCTTTTTTTTTGTTTTCCACTTCGCTTTCTTGCCCACACTCCTTTCCCTCTGCCTCTGGGAACTGGGTCATTTGTTACTTATATCAGTGTGCTCTGCAATCCCTCCACTTGTAATGTTCTCCTGAAGGACATTACTTCCTTTGCAGCCTTGTGAAGTGAAAGTTCTTTCTTCTTTCTGATCTTCTACCACCAGGCTTCATGCTTACCTTGGGTTCCCTCTGCTGTGAGATAAATTTTCCCTTCTCCCTCAATTTGGAAATAGACCAAGATTCAGATCTCTAACAAGTGTGATCAGACACCTGAAGGTGGTCATCAACTCCCCTATCTGGGCTTTGCCAGGTTTGAATTTCACTCATTAGATCAGTCCCTATTGTGTTTTACAGGAATTTGGTTCTCTACCTCAGCTCTCTCTCCAAAGGTCATATCCTATATCTTATCATTAACAAACCCTTCTCCATAATCTTGATTTTAAGTACAGTATTCCATTTTCCAATAGTACTTTGTTTTCCATCTCTCTCTAGCACAACTCTTAACCAAGTGTTATTGCTTAGTGCCTTCAGTCCACTAACCCTACCAACTTCAGTGTTTCTCATGACATGGCTCCTCCTACTCCTGTTCTGAATTTACTTCCTACTAGTCATTGTCATGGTCATTCTGCTGCACCACAGGGGCTTTCTTGCCCTTAACTGAGTGTGCTAGGATAGTCCTGGCTTACACCTTTGCACTAGCTGTTGCCTTTTCTGAAAACTCCAAGTTACTTGATTTCTCTGCTTTTTCGTCTCCTGCATCCCTGTATCCAAGGATCATCCTATGAGGCCTTTGCGATTTCCTTATTAAAGTAAAACTTCTTTCCTAATACTTTCAATCCCTCATTTTTGTTTTTAGATTTTACTTATTTATTGGTCCTTAACTCTCTAAAATGTGAGTTTTGATCAGCTGGGGATTTTGTCTGCTCATTGCTTTATCCCTAGAGCCTAGAAAAGACCTGGGCATGTAGTAGTATGCGTTCCTTAGCAGATACTAAAAAAAAAAAAAAAAAAAAGAACAAATGAAGCATGTTCTAGTGCACAAATAAAGAGGTTAATTAATGTGAATAAATATGGAAGCTTAGAGTGGGAGATTTTGTATTCCATACAAAGAGCATTCGAGGCAGTGAGAAGGTCTGCGAGGATGTCTTCACATTTATCTGGGATTTGAAGGCTGCCTTCAGTATTGTAAGAAGAGCCAGCAACAGAGGCTGTTTTCAGTGGTGTGAAGTAGGCAAGTAGAGTGGATTAAGGAAAATAGTTTAGTACAGTGAGACCATAACCCTAAACTAAATCTCCTTACTCATTTTTGCATGTGTAATATCCGAGTGAAATCTGTGATTAGTCTCTTTGTGGAGGACAAGCTAAATCTGAAGCTTTCTTTTCAGATTAAGGATATAAGTATGGGGTTGAGGATATAACTCAGTGGCACAGTACCTGCCTGGCAAGTGCAAGGTCCTGAGTTTGATTCCTGGTAACAACAACAATAATAAAAGAATATGAATATGGTCTATCATGGCAAACTTGATCATCATTTGACCCTATGAAACCTGTTATTTTATGGAAAAATTTATAACAAAATAGAGAATAATAGTTATTATACTGTGTAACATTATGTCCAGTATAGCTACTCAGAGTATAATGCATAAACCAAAAAGAATCTTACAAAAAACTCAAACAGATAATAACATAAAATTTTATTTTCCACTATCTAGGATAAACTAATAGTATGAATAAAACAAATTAACATATATAAAATATTTTTAAAATAATGAAATACATAATTTGGGGAAGTATTCTAATTTCTCCCTACTTATCTTTCTTAAAATATGTGCTTATTTGAAAAGCTTTTTTTGGTAGATGCTACTTTTATGAAGTTAGTCTGTGATCTTGAAATGCACAGTGGTACCTCGGGACCCTCGACTCTGCTATAGTTGGTGTACCTTGTTTTAAAATCTATAATTCTGTTATAAACAACAGAGTCTGGTTTATTTAAAGTTAGATGCAAGAAACTGCACCTCACACCTGCTTAATAACGCTTAATGTGCCTTGTGTGCTAAATTCCATATTAGGATTCTCAGCAGAGAGTTCTCATAAATTCATGGCAAATCACTGTGTCATGGCAAGATGACTAGAGGTGCACAGGGACAGTAAGAGGGCTGTGGCCTTTCAGGTATGTTTCCCCATCCTCATCTAAGGAAGTTACTATCTAGAAATGTCAAGTTGTGTTGCATAATGATGCACATTTATTTGACCTTTGCACTATCAGTTCTATTCACTAAAGTTATAGTAGAAAAAGTATAGACAATCATAAAAACTCAAAGAGGAAAACATCAAATTTTACTGCAGTGTTATGGATTAGGTACTTAAAACATGTATTTCAAGTATCTTTTGTCTGATGAGTTATAATAAATTCCAGAGCAGCATAATGATTAATATCTACTAAAGATTCAATGTATTCCTCATAGGAAAGTAAAAGAATAATTGCAAATACTGAGCAGTCCTAAATTACAGAAAGTGTAAGTTCTTACTGGTGTTCAGCATAGCAAATTTTTACCTACTACATAATTGAAAACAATCTATTATATACTATTTTAGGGCTGTTTTATATCGGTATTAAGCCAGAATGGTCTGTAAACTGCAGAGAAAGTACCAAATTCCTCCTTCCTTTGGGTATACTTAGAGCTTTCGGCCATTCTAAAGCAACATTTGGTGAAATTTTATACTTTAAATCATTCCAAGTTTTAGCTAGAGAAGGATTTTGCTTATTTTTTGACATAGTTTGCAAGATTTAGCAAGCAAAAATGTAAGACATCAAAGTAAATTTGAATGTCAGATAAACAAAGAATACTTTTTAGTATAGACGTGTTCCAAATATGGCAAAGGGCATATCTGTAGCCCAAATTGTTCAGTAACTGGGGCCCAGTATTGTACTGACAACTCTATCTGGGTGACAAATTGCCATCTCTGGGTCTACCTCCTTTGAAATATTAATTTGTAGTCCTCCTATTAAGAACCAGAATTTATTTCTGCACTCCTTGAATCTGTGCCTCTGACTGATTTTGGCTAGAAGAATGTGGTATAAGTAATGATACACCAGTTTTGAGCCTCGAATCCCAGAGCCTTGTTCTTTGAACTCTGTGTAGCTTCCAGGCCTAGGCAAGCCTGGCCTGGAGAATGGGAAGTCACATGGATTAGACAACCATACCATCCCATCCCATCCGAGGCTGTCCCAGTCCAGTCAGCACCAGTCAGTATAGCAGCTGACTACGGATCATAAGTTAGCCAGATAGGACTGGACATTAACTGATTTCAGCCCGAATCGGCAACATTGAGAAGTATAAGTCAGTAAGAGAATGCTATTTTATGTCACTGAGTTGCAGTTAACAAAAAAAGCAAATTGATAGACTCTGACAACGTGAAGCAGAGTTGAGCTTCCCTTTCCCCTTGGTGTTTTGGGAACTGAACCCAGGATCTTAGCACATGATAGGCAAATGCTCTCCCATTGAGCTATACCCCAGCCCTGAGCTGGTCATTTTTTCTAAGGCTAGAGAATGGTGTATAGGTTGTATTGTGTTTTGAGGCCCACAGATGAAAGTAATAGGTAATTTTGGTACTTAGTTTTACAGAAGTAACGTTTGAAGATGATTGCACTGAATCAGAGAAAATTGATTATTGAAATAAACATTTGTGCCCATAGAAAAAAAATTCAATTCTATAAATAGATGTTCTTTTGCATCTTTAACCATTTAATGTAGGTCCTTTGCTAAGTGACTCTTGGCTCTCTCATTCTTCCTCTGCAGAGCTTACAGGAGGCACCTTTTAATCAGCTCATTCTGCACAGTATTTTTGATGATTGGTTTTTGAGAGCAGAGCTGGGTAGGGTTGGGAGAAGACATTTCATGCATTTATGCATCTTCTACTAGATAGTCAGTAGACTGCTTGTTGGTTAGTCAAATGATTAATGAACATGGGCTATAGGGAGTCCAAAAGAAAGAGATATGAGCAGTAGTAAAAGAGGAAGGAAAATGTATTAAGAAGAAACTCAATCTTTATCGTTGGGGACCTCTGGATGCATGAATTTTGATCTGGCCAAGATAAAGGTGGTGGGATTTATGATGTAATGTTTGATGTGCTAAACACTAGTGACCTGCCCTTCCATGGTTTCTTTAGTGACCTAATTCTTTAGTCATCTTGCCTATTATCTGGCTAAAGTAATAGAGGATGCCCCCTCCCAACCCAGCTAGGAATTTGAAATATCAATATCCTGCATAAATCTTGGTGGTTCAGCCCTAAGACAAAGTACACTTACATTCATGTGAATTACAGCTCTGGTAAGTTGGCTCATGGGGTATCATTTGTCTCCAAGTGGTTGCCTGGACTCTTTCTGCATTGTTTCTGTGGTCTTTAGAAGCTATTTGTGACCATGAGCAGGCTTTGTGGAATGCAGAGTCCTTTCCAACTTCTTAACATGGAAATCTTTGCATTCACAGAGACATCGGGTGAGTTAATGATTACTCTAGCTCATTTTCCTCATCTGGAAAATGGAGATGAGATGATAAAAATAATGACCATCTTATGGGACTATCATGAAGAGCAAATGGGTTCATAGAAATACAATACTTAGATTGTAGTGGCACATAGTACATGTGTTTGGTCAATTTTTTCACTATAACAACTACTGAGATAATCAATTTATAAAGCGAAGAGTCAGGTTGGCTAACAGTTTTGGTGGTTTCAGTCCATGATCAATGGTCCCTGTTGCTGTTGGGACTGTGTTAAGGCAGCACATCATAGTGTGGGCATACAAATAGGCAAAACCATTCATTTCATGGCTGAGAAGTGTACCAAAGAACAAGGAGTGGCCAGGGTCTCACAGACCCTTTGAGGTTACACTGTCAATAAAGACACCTACTAAATCCCACTTTACTTTTTGGTAAGGAGATTGAATTTAGGGCCTCACACTTGCTAGATGCTCTACCCCTGTACTGCACCCCCTGCTACAGGCCTCAGTTCTTGAAGATTCCACCTGGTAACACAATTTTGGGGACCAAGCATTTAACACATAGATCTTTAATATCCAAACTGCTATATGAATGCTAGCTATTATTACTTTGAACTTTTCTGAAACTTTATTATGGGGGACTTATTTTTTGCCTTTTTAAAAATATGTGAAGTTTTCTTCATGTTATGTTGCTTATTAAAAATATCCTGTTTAAAAATATGATATTTTAAAATATGATAAAAAGTATGAGAACTCAAACTCTCCCTTAGTGTGTTCAGACATTAGCAGCTGACATTTAAGTAGTAATGTAAATATTTTGCATTGAAGGTGTTTGGCTTAAACTAATGTAGGTTTAGTTTGCATTCCCTGGAGAGCAAACTGTTTAAGAAAATCAGGGGACCATGCATCTGTAGGGAAGAATGTCAGTGCTAACCTAAACTATGGGAGACAATTTGAATGCAGAGCAATTGCTGAAACTTTGATTATACTGAGACTTATTTTCTTATACTAATATGTACAGAGCTGACTCCGGTATTTCCTTTTCTCTTCAACTGGCTTAAGCATTGCAAATAAGGCTAGCAAGGTACTGGTATGTAATCTTTAAAGCCATCAGTCTCCTGTTACCTCACATGGTGCTCTCTATAGAAGATATGACCACAGCAGGATAGTAGAGCCAGTCAACTCCAGGAATGTCAGCTAGGTATGAGCCTCAAGGTAAAAAGGCTATGACTCACCAGAGTACAAAATTTTACATATCAGAAACTGAAGCAACAGCCACCAAAAACAATTCAGTTCCTACCGTAATTGAATTATGCAAATTGATCCTTCTGCATATCTTTATCTTTGCATTTTGCAGAGATGCTTTTCTCATTACCTGACTAGACAGGTCAAGTTACCCATGTAGTTCCTGTCATCCTCACTGTCACTCATACTCTAGTCACTGGCTTCTTTACAAGATAGTAAATTCTGCGAGAGACCTTGGATCAGGGCCTCCATCTGCACATCCTCATGGGGATTG